TGATAATGAAGGCAGCTTGGTGGGGATAGTGTTACCACCTCACCTAATTTTAGGTCTAGTATTTAATTTCACAGAAACTAGCAACGTGCCTGCACTGAAAGAGGAGTTTTCATTCAACATCATACCCTGTGATCCTTTCTTTCCTTTGCGCCAGCTCTGACTTTTATCCAGTTGTGTGGTTAGACTGGAAATTCCGTACAGCTTTTCTACCTCTGACTTGAGGATTCAAAGCACTCATTTTATTTGGTTCAAAATGAAATTCAGCCTATTTAATGGTGGTAATCACAGTCTATTTAATGGTGGTAATCAGTTGCCTTCATTCCTCAGTCTACTTATTTGATGTCAGTAACATTAGTTCAGCCTTAATCTTTTTATGTACTGTAATTTAGGTTGAATTAATACTCACTGTATCCAACATTATCTTCTCTTACTGGATATTTTCATGTACTCATTCTTTACCAAATTCAGGTAAAGAATATTGTCATTGCCTCTTGGCTTAATGACTGTTTTTTGAAGAAATCTCTTGGTTATCACGTTCAGGAATGGCTTGATTCTGCTGTTAATAGATAGCAGCCATGCTCTTGTGTGTAGCTGGGAAGTTAATCTTCTGTAATGATTTAGTTCTTTGAGTTTGCCGTCTGTCTTGTCGTACGTGTAGATGATGTGGCCGTCTCCAGAATCGGTCTCTGAGGTGCTTTAAGCTCTGTCCCAGTAGTATTTTGATATTATCTATATTACCAGTTCTTGTATCGGTATCATTTACCAGAAGGCACTCCACACCATCTGGGTAGCTCATAGGATCAGAAAGGCTATTTTTTTGGCTAACACCTCAAACTAAGATTGAACTTCCAATTACATCTTTTGTTGAAAGCATTTGAAAATCAGCTCTTCTCGGTTTTTTTTTTTTTTTTTTCTTCTGTATCGTTAGCATTGTGTATACAGCACTGGGGTTTTATATTTAACCAATAAACAGAGAACAGGAAAGGAAGGAGATGGGCCCAGCTTCATTTCCTAGTTCGGGTTGGGTATCCACAAATGACTCCTTCATTTTTTTGCAATGTCTGTGATAGCTCCGAGTGAAATTGGTGGAAAGATCAGTCCCGCTGTTTTGTTTAAGTGTGTCATTTGGGTGAATACTTGTCTACAGCATGGATGTGTTGTCGCCTTTTCGGTGTTCAAGGAAAAATAAATTATTTGTAGAGTGAATAAGCATCAGTAATAATTTTGTGATTTAGCATTTTACTATAGTTTCTTGGATGATCTTTGGGTTATGCATGAACTAGTAGTGCATATAACAACTAAATTTTCAGCGTCAATTCAAAATCACTTACGAGAGGGAGATTTATCTAGGATGCTTAAAACAGCTCTAAAATAAAGAGTCTACAGAACTAGTTGCTGATTTTTTTAATACATAGTTTCATTTTTCATGTTTGCTCTAAGGTGGGAGTCCAAGGTAAACATTTTTTTACACAGCGAAAGTGACAAAGAAGTGGCATTCTGAACTAAGAATTAGTACTTATCAAGCCATGAATCACTCAACTGACACTGAAAGCCAAAGACCACAGTACAAAGGTTTGGGTAACCAAAAAGATCCCTCTGCTATTTGCCACAGACTTGCAAATCACCAGAATGAATCTTATAAAGAATCTATGTGCTTTTAAATAGGTTCCTAATATCGTTCTAATATGATAGTATGTCAGCCCCTGCTCCCAGCCTTGCGAGATCCAAAGATCATCAAGATCCTGGTAGAGCAATAAACTGAATCTGGATCTTACTAGCAACTTATATAATCGTTGCTGTCTTGAACAGTCAGTATTACTTCAGTTCTCACGCACCCCAGTCAGGTTAGACAAAGACACTTGAATGTTAGGGTGATTCGAATAGTACAGGTGTCCTCACGAAGGAACTGTGTTGAAAAAAACATACTGGGTTGGGCTTTTTTTCAGCTTTGAAAGCTGCTCTGTGACATACATCATTTCTCCTGCAAAATTTCTTACAAGTGTTGTAAATGACTTTGAACATTTTATTCCCGATGTTTGACTTGTTTCTGTACAACATGGAAAACCAAAGTAGTTTAAACACTGCTTTTCTAAAATACTGTTACTTAGTATTTATTATTGTACAGAAGAGGGTTAAGATTCTCTTGTGTCAGGTTTGCTTTTCTTAAAATTCTGCTCCTCTATTTGATCTTTAAAAATTATTGTAAGACCTGAATTTTCTGAGGAAATGGTGTAATACATATTGTTAGCAAATATTCAGAATTTTTCATTTAAACGTTTTAAAATTTTCTAACTATTTTGTCATTACGTAACATATGTTTAGGTTAACAACCCTTCTGTTTTGTTTAGATATATAAATCTACAAAGTGCAATGACATGCGCCAAACAGGTTACTGCCCACGCGGTCCATTTTGTGCGTTTGCACATGTTGAAAGTAAGTAAGAGAACCGTTACTTTATATTAGTGTTCATAAAAGTGAACCATCATTTCTAAACATCAGTAACAGAAGTGACTTACCACCATTAATTTTAATGCATAAATGGCATTTGATGTCACTTGTTTTTAGAAATTCATTCCATATCTTTTAATACTGTACATTGCTATGGGAGCTTGCTGCATTTGCATCAAATTTGCATCAGCAGTAAAACAGGAGGTGCTTTTCTTTACAAATGCAGCTTGTCCCTGTAACTTTTTGAGCTTGATTTGGCAATTTTCTACACACATGCTTGACTTTTTAAAGTACATTAGCTGTCCTATTGGAACCTATAGTAAACTTCTCAGGTGAAAGTTAAACATCCTTGCAAGTATTTGCAGAACTAGGGCCTTAGCTAAACTGAAAAAGAACACAGAGAAAATTATGTCAGCTGTCCTCTTTCCTTCATAGCCCACTTACATCTTCACTGTACCCAAACTGTTATATATAGAAAAAGGGAAGAGGGGCCACGTTTTTCCAAGAGAGCACGCAATTCTTCGGTATGCATCTACACAGATTAATTCTGGGTATGCATCATCAGATTCTTTTTAACAGTAGTATCAACTTAGGTTACCCCTACACTCTTCCTGCACTCCAAAATGTGAAGTGTGCAGTTGCTGTAACGACTATTCATGCCTTCTTTTCAGTTGTGATGCAAGGCAGAACTTGAAGCATTTCTATGTAACTGGTTTCCTATAGGTGATAAATCTTTTCTTTTTTGATTATGTAATTTTTGCTTGATTATGTAATCAGTAAAACCTCATATTTATTGTTCAAAAAGAAAAAAAGAGGTTGCTCCTATCTTACTTTTTGCATTCTGCTTCTAGAGCTGGAAGGAGGGATGAGACACCCTACCAATTTTGGAAAGCTCCAAGTTTCTGCAATTCAGTAGTATTTATCTTATGATTCGCTAATGATAAGTAATGGCAGTCTCCTCTCTCTGTCTAACCTGTCTAGGCAAAAGTGATGTTCTATAAAACCATTTATTGTGTCACTTGCTTACCTAAAAGACTTCCAGTGAAGAGAGTCATTCTTGCTGTCCCCAGCTTTTGTTTCTGAGACTGTGGTATGGTCAGCTTGTCTTTTAACTTCTGTGGGATGACTGATTTTCCTTTTCTGTGGTTTTGTTACTCAAAGAAAAGGAAGGATAAATAACCTCCTATATTTATTTCAAGAAGCCCATTATTCTAAGACCTAGCAATTCTTCAAAACATTATGGCAGTGAAGTCAGTATTGACAGTTTCTTCACCTGAAAAGTAGCTTCACTGCCTTCGCTTTCATGCTGTTGGGGCTATCTCCTAAATCAAGTCCTTCACTGTTTGCCAGTGTTGGCAAGTACTTCTTTGACTCAGGAAAGTCCGAAAATACCCATTTTGTTACAGAAGTAATTTATGGCACTGGGTTTGCTGTTCTGTTTATCTGATATAAGTTTTTTCTTTCCTGAAACAGCTGAAAAAGTATGATTTAAACAAATTCACTGCAGACATGCAGCATGGTATAATTGTGACATGCTGCAAAACTCCTGTGGGAGAAGGCTGCATATTCTCTGGTTTTCTTCCTTAGGGCATACTGAATGCTACCTCCCTTCTTGCCTCTCCAGCATGGAGGGTGTACAGGATAAAGTCAGCAGAGCTCTTGGAAACTGGAGTTCTTTTGAGACCCCATCATGATTTACTTTTGTGTGTCTTGATCATTAGTATCTTTTAACAGTCCAGTTGATGCTTGATTCCTATGAGAGGAATCATTCTCGCAGGAAGCTCTCATTGACAATAAACAAGATTTCCATCTCTAAGGAAAAGTTAAGCGTTGCCCAGGCTAAGGATAAAGAGGGCTGAAGGAAGGTCCAAACTTAACAATTTGCTGATGTTATTCTCCCTAAGGGATATCTTTCTAACCTGTTGCTAATCCTTCTACCCCAACCCCGTTCTTTCTTCTACTCTGTAGGATGAATTCTTGTACTCTTTAAAAATCTCAAGAACTCTGAGAGAATTCCTGAGACTTTGAACATGTTAGCAGTGCTAACTGAGAAGCAGCAGCTTAATTTTCTCCACATAGTTGCATTAGACAGAATTTTATGTCCATCAGAAGAGACTTAATATGGCTTAGCCAGCATGCCCTGGAACTCTTTGGCTTGCGTCATCTGCAATGAAGACTGTGTAAGCAGGAAATCTCAACAAATGAACTTGAAATCTTGCAACAGTACCCACCCACTGTCTCTTGTAGTCTGAATAGTCCATCAGAAGTTAGACGTATGGTTACTATCAGCAAGAGTGCCTTTCTGCTGTTGGCAACAGCTTTAAGCTTAGTTCAGCAGCTCTGACATTCCGCCTGCTATGTCTGTAGAATAAAATGTTTTCTGTCCCTTCCATATTAGGGAAGGGGGGGGGAGAATGGTTTTGGAGCTGTAGATCTTATCAGTAGGAAAAGCATGAAACTCTTGGTTCATGCATCTCTTTGAATCACGAATTATGGGTGTTCTCCACCTAACTTCAGTGAAGCCCTAGCTGTGTGGAACGGGTAGAGGAAGATTTCCCACCATTCATACATGTATTCCAGCAATTTTTACCATTCTGTGTGAAGTAATTTGTAGAAGTACACATTCTCTTACAGAGAACTCTCTCTATTATATAGCATTCCTGATCTTCCCTCAATGAGTTCCTCAGAACCAGCTGACCATTTTTTTTCCCTTTTCTCCCTCCCTTTTGAAGATCACAAGGAATATTACTATTCCTCCAAGACTGCTTTTCCCTTGAGGCCCTGGCTGCAGACAGTATTGTCTTATGAATGTCACTTACTGTTTTTTTCCCCCCCGACTGGCTGAAGCCCTAGGTTCAGTGTAGTCCCAAAGACACTGTTGTGACAGGAGGGAGGGCACCTGATCCTGGAAAGTAGAGAAGCAGTGGGATCTGACACAGCTCCCTGACACCCTTTGCAAAACAAAGAGTAGCTGGTGTATTTTGGGACACTTCAGTAACAGACTGTCTACAAATAATGAACACCTCTCTGCGGCACACATTTGTCCATTCATTGCCTGACTACAACTGGCACCGTAACAAAAAATAGATTTTTTTTGAAACGGAAACACAGGCATACTGAAATTCTGCTGGCAAAAATTTGGAAACACTTCAAAGAACACATCTCCTGTTTAACAGCTTCTGTTACTGAAGGCATTTGCCTTCAGATTGTTCTTCCAAGTCTGTTTTCTTCTGTCGGTGCCAAGATTGCAATAATGAAAAAACTTACTTCTGACTTCCTGAAGGATGGGATTCCCCAGGCCAGACCTAGACTAACCATGGTAACTCTTACATTCATAATACCCAAGCCATGCTAGTGCAAATTCTAAGGAGGCTATATAGATGCAAAGGTTGCATCTCATAAAGAGTACAACCCTATTTCTACATAACATCCTAGGCTACTGATAGATAATCCCTGAAGCACCACTGCACTGGGATTAGATAGTTGAAATTCTTTTTGAGGGCTGTATCCTAATCTCCATGAGATTGCCATGAGATGGGCCACCATGTGAGACTTGCTTTTCTGTCAGTTGCAATCTCCTACAACGGCTATAGGTCTTTGAGAATATATGGTTAGACTCGGGGAGGCTTACGCTGTAGAATTTGTACCTTCTGTGCAGCTGGCCACAAGCTATGATGTCCACTCTTGGAAGAAATTAGAATGATGTAGAAGCCCATATTCTGAATTTCATGTGTCTGGTTGACTTACAATCCATAAGCAGGATAGCAAAAACTGATCATGCTATTCTCCCTAAATACCTTGGAAAGAGAAAGGAGGCATTATTTCTCTTTGAAATGTTTGGGAAGCAGTCTTATACTACCCTTTTAGGGTGGTATGACTACTTACACTCATTTATAGGAAGGATATTGGACAAATATGTGGTTGTGTCAGGGAAAAAAAGCTAATGAAGATTTAAGAGACAGCATGAATCGAATAGTGCTTTTTCCTAGGACAGTGTGAGGGTTGACTGGACATAAGATGGCTGACTGGCCTTTCTCTGGGCAAGCAGCTGTACAATGAGATGATATGTAGTGAAAGTGAGAGTCAATTACAAAAAGTCAGCGCATCTGTCTCTGTCTTCCCAACTGTTCTTTGCACTCATTTGGTAAGAGGAACAGCAGAGGTCTAGTGACATTATCTTTTCAATCCCTATGGCTTCTTTTTCCTTCTGGGGTTTTTTTTGGGTGTGGCTGGACTGGACTGGTGTGTGTAGCAGTGCTTACTAGTAGCTTTTTCCTTTCTCTTTTGTGAGCCATGTCCCTATTTTTGTAATTTGTACAACAGTGGAACTATTTGGTAAAGCATTGGACCATGTAGTAAGAAGGCTGCAGAGTTCTGATAAATTAAATGCTAGATAGAAAAACGCCACGTGATTAGAAACAATCCTCAGCAATGCTATCTCCACTGAAGAGAGGTGTCTATGTATCTCATTCTGTTTCCTACTATGGCTTGTACTTTCGTACACTCTATCAGAGCTATTTATTGTTTCTAGTAGAGAGAAATGTTTAAATTTTATATTTAACTGTAGTTTATCATTACCCCTTCAGAAATGTAGTAGTGGCTAGAGATGAAAAAAATCTTGCCGTACCTGTAGAATTTATTGAGAGATTTTGTTTTCAGTCCTGACCTCCTTACTTTGATGTCTTGTGTGCTTGGATTATGAGGTGAGGAATGTTATTAACTGTAATTGCTTACTAAAGTAAACACTTTTTTTGTTAACTCATCATTTGCCTGTAAAACTAGAAGTCTAAATCTCTTTAATACATTGCACATTTAAAGAATCAAATATCTAAGATGTTTAATAGTTTAACAAAGTAGCCTTTGGGGAATTGCAAAGTAATTGTTCAGTCACTTTGAGTTGAATTTTCTGGTCTGCAAATTAACAAGTCATTGGTCACAATTTACGTCTAAGTTAATAATGAACTTCTCAAAGGTTATTGTTCCTTTTTAAGTTAAATAGTACAAGTCCCGTATTCTCTTCAAATTGTTTTGTGATTAAGTCAGTTGGTTCTAGACTGGAAAAAGAAAACAAAGAACCCTATAATTATGATGCCATTGTTACCTTTCCGGTCAAGAGTTCTAAAACTGTTGTCTTTAAACCCTGGTGTGATAGAGTTTCTGGAAAATAAAGCAAAATCTAGAATACTTTAAATATATGAATTTCAATCTACCTCCTGCCAATTTTTGATGGAGCAAGTAAATAAGAGTATCGCATTTGTTAGTAGCCACAAATACATAATGGTGAATTATATTATTCTTACCTTGCCTTTATGCTTATATTTAAAGAAAAAGAGAGAGATTTCTTGTGTGTGATTGATGTTTCCATGTGACAGGTGCTGTGTTTGGTACTAGGTATGTAATTGTTAAATTCACACAGCTAAGTATCAAATCTGTGTGTAATTTGTTGGGGATTCCTTCAACAGAGGACACCATGAATGTAGTCATACTGCAAACTGGTTGTCAATCAAAGCCAGGCGCTCACCTGTTTTCAACAGACAGCATAGGAATTGCAAATGAATGGAGCAGCAGTCTTAACTCCACAAACAGCATTACAAATAGCAGTGGTCAGTCTGGAAATGTAAGTGTAAATAATTCTGGAAAAGTTACTAATAATAATCACTGTGCCAATATACAATGTTTATTTTACTTCTTAAACGTCTGTTTTTTTATTTCTTTGTACTTCAGCAAAGACAAAAACCCCACAGCTAT